TCGTCACAGCAGGAGCCAGGGCGGCTAGCATTAACCATACCTCTGAAGCATGCACGACAGAGGGCATGTCGGTTGCAGGCCATGATGATTGTGGGCCGTTCACCATCACAGTTAAGTGCACATTCACTATAGCGCCCGCAGGCACAGATGGGACATACTGCATCTGGATGTAGAGGATGTTCACAATCCGGATACAGGTGGCATCCCTCCCGACAACGGGCCCGAAAAATTATACGGTTGTAGTGATGTCGACAAAGTCGATGCTTTCCACAACCAAGTGTAACTGTGTCAGTGATCTCACAAAGGAGGGCACAAGGTGTTAGTGCAGCATGTGGGGGAATGAAGACTAAAGCAGGCACGGTGACAGACATGGAGGTAGGCACAGAGACAGACACAAAAACGGGCATGGAGACAGGTGTGGAGGCAGGCACAGAGACAAGTGCAGAGGCGGGGACGAAAGTACACGTAGTACCCGCAAAGTCAGTAATCTGGACGGAGACAGACACGGAAACAGGCACAGAGACAGGTACGGAGGCAAGCACAGAGATAGGCGTAGAGGCGGGCATGGAAGTACACGAGGTACCCATAGGGTCAATGACCTGGAACAGTTGCAGGTTAGGGTAATTACGCACGCGATCACAAATGGCAGTAATAGTTTGCACCATAGCACCGCCATTCCATAATTCCCAAGAACCAGAGGCACGAACAAGAGCGGTGTAGTGGCCAGGAGTATGTAGAATATAGGCACAAACGTGCGAATAGTGGTCCGGGTCGCCACCCTAAGGGGCACGCTGCATATCAAGCCGGCGCCTTATCAAAGCAGTCTCCAAAACAGAGACATTGACTCCCCCATGTCGAGTGTAATTACTATCCTCTGGGGGATGCAGAGCCGGGTTATCGCCATATAACTCACGTTCCTGAGCATCAAGATCAGAAGCAATGGCCAAGAAATCAGAGTGATATATATAAACCGGGGTCGTTCTGCGCTCGGCGAGAGGACCCTGAATCTGCAATAAAATTTTGGTTTTGGTGGGGGAATGGGGGGGTTGGTCTG